TATTTATTTATTTTACAGAGAGAGACACAGCGAGAGAGGGAACACAAGCAGGGGGAGTGGGAGAGGGAGAAGCAGGCTTCCCGCAGAGCAGGAAGCCCGATGCGGGGCTTGATCCCAGGACCTTGGGATCATGACCTGAGCTGAAGGCAGTCGCTTAACGACTGAGCCACCCAGGCGCCCCCCTTGCAATGAAATTTAATGAGTATGTATTTGGTGGGGCCCTTAACTGTAGGATGGTATTTTCTTTTATAATCAAGCATATCTTGCTGTAGCTATTTCTTTTAAATACGGAAACTTTTGTCATATAACTTCTTTTATTCTTGAACGGTTTTTATATCCAGTTTAGTGGACTGCTCAGTTCAGAAGTCGATGTTTATAGTATAGTATTTTGAGAATTCTTTTAGCTTGGTTGGACGCCTGAGTGGTTTTCAAGCTTAGTGGGCCAAGCAATATAGGTTAGGAAGCTGAACATAGTTATTTATTTCTTTTCCTAGCTGTAGTCCCTTTGTTTCCATTTAACTCTGTTTCTCTAAACTTCGTTTTCCCATTATTTTTCAAGATCCCACCAAAGAGAATCCATATGAAGATATTCCAGTGCAGCCTTTGCCCATGTGGAGATCCCCTTCAGCATGGAAGCTACCACCCCCGAAAAGTGCTTTCAGAGCACCAAAGGTATAACCAAAGAATCAGTATAAGAAAACATTATATATAATTAACGTAAGAAAATATAAGAATCTTGTTTATGATCCCCACAAAAAGGTTAAAATGGTTTAACTAGGGCCAAGATTAAGAGGCACTGAAATATGGGTTTTGTTGGTAATGGTGGTTTTTGTGTTCTTTGTGGGGTTTTGGGGGAGCAGCACACAGCTTTTAGTTTTCTTTGGTTTTGGGGTTTCTGTTTGTTCACTTACTAGCACTTCAAAAAATGAGAATGTGAACACCTTTAGACAAGCCATGAGCTTTTCATTTCACTGTAGTTACCACAGCTCCCTATTAGTCCCACGACAGTCTGTGGCCTAAATTACCTGTCTCATCCCCGAAAGCATTCGTCACCCCCACAAGCGAAGGCTGCCTTAAGTTAATGAGGACTCTGAGCTGTTTTTTTCTGGAAACGTGATGACATCGTAGTAGAACACCGGATTAGAAACCTGAGAAATGACTTCACAAATGGGGAAAAAGAAATTCTGGTATCCTCAATTGAGGTGACTTGAAAGACAAGATACATCTTTTTCTAAGATAACTTGACCTTGAGACCATCGGCATTCCCTAGACGATCTTACCTTTACCAGTACATCTTCTCCTGTTTTAGCTTCCTCCCAAGCCTCAGTTCCTCCACCGGAAGACTATGGAACTGAAGAGCTCCCAAGCTTATTTACGATCAAAGCTCACAAAGGATACCACTTTGCCTGTCACTTTAACTGAATGGAAGCTTTTCCGAGCTGGAGAAGTTGCATACAGGAAAAGAAAAAATCTTCCCAGGGTAAGGACTCTAGTACTTTCATTCTTTGACTCTTACTTCATTTCCATAAATGAGAATAAATACACTTTAGACTGAAATGAATAATAGGTTAGAACTGATCTACTGGAATGAGAAGATTTGGAAAGCAGCCTTAAGATTTAGGTTTTTGCTCATGCAAGAAAAATGCATGTGTGGCTTTTGCCAGGGCTTCTTTATGGATCTGGAGAATTGATTTTAGATGGAAGCTTTCACTTCGGTTACCTTAGTTCTCATTAAAATCAGCTGCCTGTTTCAAGGAAGCACTAGAATCTCATGTAAGAGGACATTCTATTAAGCTGGCTTCAGTGTTGTTATTTTCTTTTTTTAAAGATTTTTCTTTATTTATTTGAGAGAGAGAAAGAGCACGAGCCGGGGGAGAGGGGCAGAGAGAGAGGGAGAAGCAGACTCCCCACCAAGCAGGGAGCCCGATGTGGGGCTCGATCCCAGGACCCTGGGATCATGACCTGAGCCAAAGGCAGTCGTTTAACCGACTGAGCCACCCAGGCACCCCAGGGCTGTTATTTTCACTCACTTACTTAATTGCCAAAGTGAACAGTTTTGTGCCTGAATTTACAGATTTTCAGTAATAACAAAGTATATGCCTTTAATTTGGGGCAAAAATTTCCATTTGGGGGAAGAAAAAAGAAATTTGACTCTTACTTGGGAATAGAAATTATCAGCAATTACATTAAATAAATGATTTTTCTCTCAAGGGAGAAAAGGCATTAAATCTAAATCATCTCAAACAGAGCTTTTAGAACCAAAATGAAGAAATTGGGATTATTTATAAACAGATATATGTTTTTAAGGAGAGATACTTAAGAAATTGCATGAAAATATTTTTAAATTCTTTATGTTACTTTGTTCTATAATTTAGAATGTTTTCAGGATAACTCTGCAGAAATGAAAAAAAAAATCAGATCATTCAAATAGTATTCCTTTCCTTAATCCCATCTGAATTAGCTGCATGTTATTCATTTGGCACACAGTGTTTGTACCTGATTTTAACATTAAACAAAAGTCCAGCTGTTTTTTGCTTTAGTAACTGCTGATCGGTTCCATGGGAAATATTCTGTTCCACAATACTTTAATTCTTCTGATCTATTTCCTGCCGCTCCCTCTTTAATATGTGAAGAGTTAAAGACACACGGCTTTAAAAAAGCACTAAACACATCTCTCTCAGTGAAAAAAAAAAAAAAGCAAACCTCTTTAGCTGTTTACCCTCCTGCGTATGGTGAGGAATATGTAAGAATCCAATGTTTAAAGAATTGCTAGGCTTTCTACAGTAGTTCTGTCCTCTGATACATCATGCTGGCGCAACGAAGCAGCCTCCCACATGGCCCAGAGACAACAGATCGTGTTCACAGGGGTGAGAGTACAAACACATAAGGGATTGCATTTAAGACGTGGTTCTTGGAATTACATTAACAAATATTTGGGAATAATGCATTGTAGATTTTAGTGAGACCCACGGAAATTTGCAGTGCTTTTAATTTCATGCCTCCGTGTTTTAGGTACTGTGGATCCCCCAAGTACTCGAAGCTTTTTCTCTTTCCAGCTCTAGGTGATAGGATCCAACTTTTCCTTTTCTAGTTATTTCCTCAGAGGTCTTTTGAGAAGTGAGGTGGGAAAATATGGCGATGAACTCTTGATGATCAGGCAGGAATAAGCTGTTAGCGACCCTCCTTGGATTAAATCCTATTAGGATGTTCTATTTGCAATGCAAAATTTTGACTTTTGAGTACCTTCAGCAACAACATTCCAGGAGGAAAGCAGTTTTCATTTACTTCCCCTTTGATGGCTAGAGCTATCCCAGGAAGGAAAACTGGTTTCATAGTTTAAAAATCACTGATCTAGTCCATATGCCTGTTCCCCACCCTTCCTTTCTTTCCCTACTGTGAAAGCCTGTGTGGGATTGTTTGCTAGAGTAGATTTCCTAATGTCTCACATTGCTCGTGTCAGCTGTGCATAGCTATATGGTTTCTATCATTTTGTAGGAAGAATATTCTATAATATTTCCTACTGTACCCTCCAGTATTTACTGCAAGGTAAATGTAAGCTCCTCTTCCTAACTCATAAGCAAAATTTCAATTTTATTATTTTATCTCATGTTTCTAGAGCAGATAGTTCCCTTTCCTTTATAATATTTGAGTCTCCTATTGAGTATAATTTTCAAATGCTTATTAATAATTATACTATTTTTAGGGGTGCCTGGGTGGCACGGTCAGTTAAGCATCTGACTCTTGGTTTCAGTTCAGGTCATGATCTCAGGGTTATGAGATCGAGCCCCATGTCAGGCTCCACGCTCAGCGTGGCATCTGCTTAAGATTCTCTCTCCCTCTCCCTCTACCCCCGCTCGAGCGTGTGCTTTCTCTGTCTAAAATAAATAAATCTTAAAAAAAATAATTACACTATTTGTGGTCAGTATATCTCCAAAATACATGTTTACTCTCATACGTCTTTCCTATAGCCCCTAACAATATCTTTTTATGTTGGATTATCTTGTTTTTTTTTTAATTATGGTAATATTTAAGAACATTGGTAATTTTTCACTTGAATGGCAGCTACAAAATTTTCAAAAGAATAAACTCATCCAGAAATGTGGGAATAATCTGCATATTGGAAGCACATGTTTCTCACATGTTATTTTTCTTTCTCTGGACTGATTCACTGCCTATGGATTGCCAGGATTGCTAGAGAAACAAGGACAAAAGAGAAAACAGGAACATTTTTCTCAAGCAACTTTGTTGGTTCTTAATGTTCCTAACAGTTGTAATTCTGGGCATTAAATATGTTAATTCAGGATTAATGATTAAGGAAAAGCTTGGAATTTTAAGAAAAAAGAAATATACATGGAAAACTAATGAATTCCTCCTTTTATTTATTTTTTTAAAGTTTATTTACTTAAGCAATCTCCACACCCACGGTGGGGCTCAAACGCATGCTCCACCGACTGAGCCAGCTGGACCCCCAAATTCCTCCTTTTAAAAGTGACTGTTCATCAGCTTGATTTTTTCCTCTCTTTTTAAAAGACTTTTTAGGGACGCCTGGGTGGCTCAGTCGTTAAGCGTCTGCCTTCGGCTCAGGTCATGATCCCAGGGTCCTGGGATCAAGCCCCGCGTCGGGCTCCCTGCTCAGCGGGAAACCTGCTTCTCCCTCTCCCACTCCCCCTGCTTGTGTTCCTGCTCTCACTATCTCTCTCTCTGTCAAATATATAAATAAAATCTTTAAAAAAAAATTTTTTTTGAGTTTTGTTGACACATAAGCCTACTCTATGTGCGTGTGTGTCTGTCTGTCTCTTTCACACACACCTCCCAGCAGCAAAAAAAAAAAAAAAAATCTGAGTAATGCTTACTAAATGGAGCCTGGTTTTTATACTAAAGTGTATTTGAGAGCCTCCTATTTTTATGACGTTTCTAAAATAAATTATAATATTGGTGCTCCCAGTAGTAAAGAGAGTATTTGCTGGGACAAAATCTTTGTCAGCATGATTATCTTCTTTTTGCGAAGAATTCCTGGGAACAGAAATAACTAAGCCTTAGCCTAGCTTCCAAGTGGAATGAATATTCCTCTTCCTACTCTGGGTGATAGGGAAGGCTTGGTCAACAAATAGAGTACAGTAGTCAGATTTCTTGCATGTTGTGACATAGAGTGACAAGGAATCTCTCTAAGAGCCTGTGCTGGGTTCTGCTGGAAAGGAGATACCCTTTTCTCCTTCTCTTACCCATGTTGTATGGACTTTATATTAGAACAACATATTATCTTAATAAAGATCATTTTAGGTTCCAAATTTTTAAAATGTAAAGGTTTTTATTATTTATAAAATGGATCTTTCTCTGAATGAGAATCACTAATTAATACCATCAAGACTTGGTATTGAATCTTTAAAAAGAAAAAGTGGGAGCATGGGCTGGTTCAGTCAGTGGAATGTACAACTCTTGATCTGGGGGTTGTGAGTTCGAGCCCCAAGGTGGGTGTAGAGATTACTTAAAAATAAAATCTTTAAAAAAAAAAGTTGATGTTGGTTTTAACTTGTACTTTGTTGGTCTTCTTTCAGCTTGTATTGAAAATTGCTGACATATTTGAATCTAAGAGAGGGAAAAAGAGGGTAAAGTTACACCCATACACTGGAAAAGACGTACCTCCCTCAAAAGGTAAGAATTGTTCCAGCTATCCAGAGCTATCAGCATTTGAGGGGAGAATTGTATAACTTAATGTTTATGTGAATTACAATTTTTGGTTTACTTTCCTATCCCACTTCAACATAACTTCTTTAGGATAAGGGATTGTTTCTTATTCTTCCTCAAATCCCTTTTATTTAGTTCTGTGCCAAGTAATAATAACGTTAAAAAATAAATAAGTTAATGGGGTGCCTCGGTGGCTCAGTCGTTAAGCGTCTGCCTTTGGCTCAGGTCATGATCCCAGGGTCCTGGGATCGAACCCCACATCGGGCTCCATGCTCAGCGGGAAAGCCTGCTTCTCCCTCTCCCACTTCCCCTGCTTGTGTTCCCTCTCTCGCTGTCTCTCTCTCTCTCTCTGTCAAATAAATAAATAAATAATCTTAAAAAATAAATAAAAATACGTTAAAAAATAATTAGAAACCAGTAAGACTAATTGTCTTTAAAAAAAAACAACCTAATTTTCATAGGCAAATTGCATCATTATTTTGTAATCCTACTTTGATTTATGGTCATTTATCAGGATTGACTCTTTTAGTGGAGAAATGAGCATATTAGATATATATAGACCACAGGTATGTGGTGCTCAACTGCTAATCATATACTCAGCTCAGTAGTTTTATCCTTCAGATGCCTAGAGAAAACTTACATTGTCTTTTTTTTAAAGATTTATTTTTTATTTTATTTTATTTTATTTTTTTACAGATTTTATTTATTTATTCATGAGAGACAGAGAGAGAGAGAGAGAAAGAGGCAAAGGGAGAAGCAGGCTCCCAAGGAGCAGGGAGCCCGATGTGGGACTCGATCCCAGGACACTGGGATCATGACCTGAGCCTAAGGCAGACGCTTAACCATCTGAGCCACCCAGGCACCCTTATTTTTTATTTTAGAGAGAGCATGAGCGGGGGGTGGAGGGGGGTAGAGGGAGAGGGAGAGAGAATCTCAAGCACAGATGCGGGGCTTTATCTCACAACCCTGAGATCACGACCTGAGCCAAAACCAGCAGTTGGATGCATAACCGACTGTGCCACCCAGGCGCCCCAAAACGTGTCTTAAGAAACTTTCAACATCGGGCACCTGGGTGGCTCAGTCATTAAGCATCTGCCTTCGGCTCAGGTCATGATGCCAGGGTCCTGGGATCGAGCCCCACATCGGGCTCTTTGCTCGGCGAGAGGCCTGCTTCTCCCTCTCCCACTCCCCCTGCTTGTGTTCCCTCTCTCGCCGTGTCTCTCTGTGTCAAATAAATAAATAAAATCTTTAAAAAAGAAAAAAAGAAACTTTGACATCCATAGTGAGCTATTAGAATTTCATACAGACTGACGCAAGATTCTTAACTTGGCTGTCTGGCAAAGAATATGTAGAATTTAGCAATTTTTGTCAAATGAGAAACAACAGCCAAGTCATACCACAGAAGAATGTTTCCTATTTTTGCAGACGTCCAAAGACAGCAATTTCTTAATTTCCCTTGAAAATCTATTCTGCATTCCAACAATTACTATCTGAAAATAAAATCCTCCATGCTACAATCTAAGACTCTTTTTCCTTACTCTAAAATCAGCTAGTCACCATTTTAGATACAAGTTTTCATATTTTTTTTCAAATTTCCATATTTTCAAAAGCAGTTATCAAAACATGTTATAATCTTCTCTTCTGCAGAAAAAATAATTTTGGGTATTGTGACTAACAGGTACCATTTACAGAATGAAGTATTAGTTTCCTTACGTACTTTATCTCATGGACAACACCCGACAACACTAGGAGGCAGGGACTATCCTAATTTTACAGAGGAAGAAGCTGAACCAGAGGAGAAAGTGTCCATTTGAAGGAAGGAACATGGTACCATGAAATCTTACCCTTTTCTGTCACCAACAGTTACTATCAGCTTTTCTCATAACCCTTGATTTTTAGCAGTTTACTTCTTCTCCGTGTGTATTTTTTATCCTCAACAAGGATATTGTCAAAGACTTTGTATTTGTGTAATTCAGAACTAGATACAGAAGATGAAAACTGGTGCCAGATATTATGCTGGACTCTTTCAGACCCATTATCATTAATTTTCTCAATAGCCTTATGTGGCAGACATTATTGTCACTGTTTCTAGATAAGGAAATACATTGTAAATTGCAAATTATGTAAAATTTCAAGACATTGGCGCCCGGACCAATTCTTACAAAACTTTACCATTTTCCCAGATTAATAGCAGTCTACTAACAACTACACTGCCGAGGTATGCTGCTAAATGGGCTCTCAATGATCTCTTATTCTATTTGTATGCCTTATTTATTCCTTAAGGATTAGGAACATTTTAGTAAATTTGGCTCTAAGATAAGTTTTTGAAGAGCCAAACCCTTTTTTTTCACTGTATCATTACTGAAAAAAAAAATTCAACAGCATGAATGGCAAACTTCTAACAACAACAAAAACAAAAAAGAAAGGAGCAGTTCCTAAATTGTAACCCTTCCCCACAACTGTGTTTTTCTTTTGCATGGCTCAAAGAAACTATGCATTTACCCAGTCTCTGGGACCAGCTCCTCTAGTGGGTCTGAGGAATTTCTCTCATGCCTGAGGATCTCCTGGCTCCATAGTCACATTCTCAGGTTTTTCTTTTCCTCCTTAAGCTTTTGTTGTAGATCAACAGTGACTAGTAGAACCAGATAATTATATTTGCCTACTTTGTCAGTACACGCTAGGTTTTACTGAATCTATTCCAACCTAAACATTTCTTAACTTTTAGTTATCAGCTGTTATAAAATGATTTATTGACCTTCTTCAATTCTATCATTATGATTTTGGTGTTGATGTCACATATAAAGAAGGGACAACCTATTTCTTTTTTGATCCCTACAGATTCTCAGTAGATTTTCCTATTGGCTTATAAACCCCTTCACCTTCATTCAGTGTCTTGGAACGCAGATCATCAAAACCTATAGATGTGAATATATTAAAGCTACCTAAATGAGCTTTGGTAGGGTCTTTTTTCAGTTGTATTACCTTTGCTTCCTTTCCCCTTTCTTTTCTTTCTTTCCAGATACTTAATAGGCCCCTAAGAAGTGCCTGATGCTAAGGACACAGACAGGACTCAGGCGTTCACAGTGTTTGTTCCTTCGTACTGAGTAATGCTTCCTAGCTCCAGTATGCTTTCTATCACGGTGGTTAATTTGAAGTTATAAAGCCCAATGAGATAGTACCTACACTTGCAGTGAGCAGAGCATAATGTATGCACTTGTCAAATCGCTATATTGTACACCTGAAACTAATGTAACATTGTGTGTCAACTATACCCAAATTAAAAAAAAATTGGGGGCGCCTGGCTGGCTCATTCGGTAGAGGGTGTGACCCTTGATCTCAGGGTCATGAGTTCAAGCCCCACATTGGGTGTGGAGCCTACTTTAAATAAATTAATTAATTTAAAGTTGTGGGTTTTTTTGAATTAAAAAAAAGGAGGCGCCTGGCTGGCCCAGTCTGGTAGAGCATGCAACTCTTGATCTCAGGGTCATGAGTTCAGGCGCAATGTTTGGGCGTGGAGCCTACTTAAAAAAAAAAAAAAAATCCAACCCCCACCCAAAACCTATACAGTATACAATATTTAAATAGTTATTTTTTCTGTTACATCTCTTATGAAGAAGCAGCATTTTTTAATGTTCTCTTATTCCTTATTACTAAATTTAAATGAGTACGGCAAGAACTTACGTTAGTAAAGAATAAGAAAAAATGAAAACCCAAAGCTTCCCAAACCTCCTACTACTCCCAGAAAATTTTATGCACATGTAAGTATTTTTCTACCCAAATAATTTTTTATACCATTCAGACTTTGTATGTCTTGTTTAAAAAAAAAAAAAAAAATGAGGGGTGCCTGGGTGGCTCAGTTGGTTAAGCATCTTCCTTCGGCTCAGGTCATGATCCCAGGGTCTTGGGATCAAGCCCCTCATTGGGCTCCCTGCTCAGCGGGAAGCCTGCTTCTCCCTCTCCCACTCCCCCTGCTTGTGTTCCTGCTCTCGCTCTCTCTCTGTGTCAAATAAATAAATAAAATCTTTAAAAATAAATAAATAAAATAAGTAAATAAATAAATTAAAAAAAAACAAAAAGTGGTATATTTCAGAGCTCTTTCAGTATGAACACATAGAGATCCACATAGCTGTACTGTAGTTCATTGTATGGATGTAGAAGGATTTTATTTAAGCTGGGAGACATTTTGGTTGTTTCACATTTTATTTGACCTATGGATTTGAAGTTATATATATATATATATATACATATATATATTTTTTTGCTCTTCAAACAATACTGCATCATACATCTTTTTGTATATATATTTGTATATTGGTAAGAATACATCTGTAGAATAACTTCTAGCAGTGGACTTAACCAAAGAACATGTACATTTAAAATTTTTATAACTGCTGCCAAATTGTCCCACACATTGTAACCGCTTACATTTCTATGAACAGCATTTGAAAATGACTTTCTTCTCATAGTTTTCACTAATACTATGTTATATAAAGCTTTTTATTTTTGCCAATAGCATGGTTGAATATTGGAACTTATTTATTATTTTAATTTACATTTCTTTAATTATAAATTTAGACAGTTACCATATTTATCAACAGTTATAAATCTTTTTCTATGGATTGCTTATTCCTACCCTTTATTCATTTTTCTGTTGTGCTGTAATTTTTCTTGTTCATTTGTAACAGCTGTTTGAATATGAAGAAATTTATCCTTGTGTCGGCAATGTGTATTACAAATATCTTCCCAGTTCATTGTTTGCTTTTCAAATTTAGTAATTTTTTATTAGGGAGAAATTTCACATTTTTATATAGTTAAACTCATGCATTTTTCATTTATGACTCCTAGCCTTGTTTTTCTTGATGCAGAAAGTCCTGTTTGTGTCCTTAGCACCAGGCACCTCTTAGGAAACTATGGAAGTGTCTGGAAAGAAAGAAAGGGGAAAGGGAGGAAAATTACAGAAAGATTTTCCCTTTCTGTACGTTTTTAAATTTTGCTTTAACTTTTCAGACTTAATCTAGAAATTTTTCATTCTCTCATTCAGAAAGCTTTGTGTGTGTGTGTAAGTAAATTAGCCATGTGCTTAGCATTGTGGTACAAAACACTCCCTTATAAATGCATAGCTCCTTATCACCAAAGCACCAAGGTACTTAAAATCTGGTTTCTTTTCATTTTTTTTTTATTCTTATGTTAATCCCCATACATTACATCAATAGTTTTAGATGTAGTGTTCCATGATTCATTGTTTGTGCATAACACCCAGTGCTCCATGCAGAATGTGCCCTCCTCAATACCAGGAAACAAACTGAGGGTTGCTGGAGTGGGGGGTGGGGTGGGAGGGATGGGGTGACTAGGTGGTACTTAAAATCTGATTGGGGAAAATAAGAGCAGTTGAAAGCTGTCTGAGTACTGTAAGAATTCAGAGTAAAGAAACACTGAGTTTGGCCTAGAAGTAGCTTAGAAGCCTCATAAAAGAGGTATGTTTCTTCATAAATGTATGTGGTTATCCCTCTGAGCCCCACATTTTCCTATGACTCTAAATTCATAAGTTGGTTCTGTGTTGAGATTTTTACTCAGCCCGGTTGGTGTCTTCCTTTGGCATCTTATTTGGGAATATAAAGACAAGGCAAGGAATGTAGAAATAGAATCTACTCTGAACCAGACTTCATAGAATTAAGGATGAGCTGGGAACTGAGGAGGGAGGGAGACGGGGTGTGGGAAGAAGCCAGGTTGGATTAGTTGCTTCTCTGAGCTGTCTGTTCTCTTTCGTGACTGCCCGACCCTGTTGTAACTAAGTGGTCTGGAGGAAGGCTCAGCATCCTTAATACTCCTGATTCCAAGTCTCCAGGTCCATGCAGGCTTTACACTGTCCTCACCCCCATGGACTTGCTCCTGTTGGACAATACAACTAGGAACTCTCTCTCTCTTTCCAGGTGAAACCAGTGGGAACGAAAGTGATGCTGAGTATCTGCCAAAGAGTGAGTGAGTCAATGGGGCTGCTCCCTTTCTCGTGATGCTTATGGTTATGGGTGGAGTGGCACCTTCCTTTGTGATTGAGCATGTTTTTCCCACGTTAAACTTTATTTTGTAGGCGATTTCTTCATGGTAAGGACCTGTTGAGATTTGGGGAACTACACAGTATGCCATCAGATGTTTGACAGAGTTAAAAAGCTCCCATGTTGGAATGAGACAGTCTGGTTCTTAAGATGGAATGTTCTAGGGGAGCGGTGGGGCTGCATGTTCAGACATATATGCAGTAGCTTCCCAGCAGCCAAAAGAGAGTATGTGAATCATCCTCTGAGACAAATACCATTAAATATCTGATTTTCCATAGTCACTCACGTGTACTTATTTAACTTCGATATCTCTGACATCGAGACAGGAAACCGATCTGTTTCTTATTCAGAGGCATTTATTTATATTTCAAATTATTGTGCCATTTACTTTCTGTTAGAATATAGAATCTGCCATGCATTTTTGGCTGTATTTGTTCAAGCACTTTGTGGCGCTCTGTAGCCTTCATCTAATGGATTTTCACAGCAAATTATAAGTTCCTGTTTAACTGACCGACATATTGAGGCATGGGAAAAGTCAGAGACATGAATTATCAAAGCTGAGTACCAGGCAGTTCCAAGTCTGATACTCTGATCTTATGATTAATAGTCATGTGCTCTCTCCATTGGCCTGAATTGCTTCAGGTGTTTGATTCAGTAGCCTGACTGAAGGTGAAACTTAAGTCATCATCAGGTTCAGCTTGGATGTGTAAAGATGACGAATTTAAAGTTATTACTACTGAGAAACAGGACCTAAAATTTTCTTGACTTGAACTGAGACCTTCGGAGTCAGTAAAGTTTTGCCTAGAGCACTACATGTACTGGATAATTCCAGGGAGCCGTTCTGAGATGAATTTTTAAGTGTTCTTAATATTTGATCTGTAGTGTAACTTCTTTGGGGGCAGAATGCATCCTATCTCAAAAGAAAAGCAAACAATTAGAGGATGTGTCTTTTAATCACGGCTCAGAATGACGCATAATCAAATCTCTGGGACACTTAGACTATTTCTTCTGCAACTACTGCATTTCCCCTAAAGGAGACTACCCCAAATTGTTCACAATTTAGAGATATATGAGAATAAAGGCTAGGGGACTCCTGGGTGGCTCAGTTGTTAAGTGTCTGCCTTAGGCTCAGGTCATGATCCCAGGGTCCTGGGATCGAGCCCCGCATCGGGCTCCCTGCTCGGCAGGAAGCCTGCTTCTCCCTCTCCCACTCCCCCTGCTTGTGTTCCCTCTCTCGCTGTGTCTCTCTCCCCCTGCTTGCGCTGTCAAATAAATAAAATCTTTAAAAAAAAAAAAAGGGAATAAAGGCTAAATGCTATCCAGTTTTGAGTGGAATTGCTCATATTGTTTAAGTATTTAGTATGCTTCCGTAATTTCATTCTTTTGTGAAATAGTCCGTTAATAGATGTCTTCTGTTGCTTCATTTTTTCCCTCTTCATTTAGCACCACATCTTGATATAAGCGTATGTCCATTATTGGCAGTATATGCCAAGGAGAGAAGGGAAAAAAGGACAGTTTCTTTAATGTGAGGAGAGTTTTTGTTTTAATTATATCAGACTCATCCCTTATGTACTTAGACTCTACTGGACTCAGTTCTTTTATCAAATCTCCCTCCCCCCCCCACACACACACGTGTGTGTGATTTCATGGTCCCAACAATGGCGTCTGCTGTCAGGCCGGTGCTTTCAGCTGACATTTTCCACGTAACGCGCCCGGTGTTACGTCATGAAAGATGGGACAGCATAGGAATATGTGTTGGGACATGGACTGTCAGCGCCACCACAGGGCCCCGGGCGCTTGTGAGAATCTGCCCTTGTCCCCCGAGGATGTCAGAGCCCTCCCAGGCCTGTCCGTGTGGCCGGCACCGGTTAGGCAGCATGCAGTCAGCAGTGACTGACAGAGGTCGCCAGAGGGAAGACGGGGCCACCACGGAGAAACAGCGCTCCCTGGTTTCATTGCAGATCGCCACAAGCGATTAGCGCAACTGCAACAGCCTTCCAAGAGGAATCCTCACTACCAGACCTTGGAGAGGGATCTCATTGAATTACAGGAGCAGCAGCTCTTTGAACTTTTTGTGGTGGTGTCTCTACAGAAGAAACCATCAGAAATAAGCTACATTCCCCAAGTCATACAGCAGTTCCCTAGCAAGGTAGGTGTGAGGAGACCAAGAGGCATTCGGGAATATTCTTGCGTCTCTGTGTGCATTTGATTTCCTCTCTTCTTTTTATTGTGATCTGAAGCAGCTTTTACCACTACTGTACCTCCTGTGGGATCTGGTAGGTGAGTCTAATGACATCTCCTGTCAGGCCTGAGCTACAAACAAGGGCAAAAAAAAAAAAAAAAAAAGCTCATTATCCAAGCTGGTTTTTTATTATTTGCTCTGCTGTTTACTAAGCGCCCTTTAGCAAGTTGCAAAGCCTCAGTTTTCTCATTCTTAATGAGGAGCACGATAAATATGGCAGAATAGGGTAGCCGTTTACAGCATGGACTCTAGGCCAACAATGCACCTGCCACTGATTAGCTCTGTGACCCTGAGCCATTCCTAACTGCTCTGTCCCGTGGTTTCTTCATTTGTAAAATGAAGATAATCATCATAGTGTCTGTGCCACGGAGTTGTAGTGAGGATTAAATGAGCCGTATAAGGCACTTAGAATAGTGTCTAGCATATAGTCAGCACTATCGAATGTTATCTGTTATTAGTGAGGGTTTAATGAGATAACGTATGTAAAGTGCTTAATGCAGTTCCTGGCACATAGTAAGCACTTGATAAATGGTATCCATTAGTAACAATATTCTTTGGGTTTTTTTTTCCTACCTTATGCCTCAGGGAGCATAATATTAAATAGCAAATAGAAATCCCATTAGAGGGCGCCTGGGTGGCTCAGTTCGTTAAGCGACTGCCTTCGGCTCAGGTCATGATCCTGGAGTCCCGGGATCGAGTCCCGCATCGGGCTCCCTG